GGGGGGGGGGGTGGTGCAGGGAGCAGCAGCTGCTTCTGTGCCTGCCAGCCTAGGGATGGGTAGGATCATCTTAACCCCTTCGTGGATGGTAACAAGGAAGCACTTAAGCTGCCTTTAGCCAAGTCCCCATGAACTGACAGTGCAGCCAGAGATGCACGGCAGAGCAGGTCCCAAAACTCTCCGGGGAGATTCCCATGTGGTGCCCTACAACCCAGGCTTCACTGCTGCCCCTTTTAACAGCAATCTGTTCTCCAGTTGCAAGGAGAGAGATTTGCGGTCACCCTGCCAGCAGCACCAGGCTGGCAGGCCGGGGCAGGGCACCGGGAACCATCAGCAGGTGTGTCACCACCCCGGTCACCTCCACCAGTGGGAAATGTTTGCCTATCATGGAGCGTGCCCCCTGCGCCCACTGTGTGCAGAGCAAAGCAAAGTCTCCCCAGGGATGGCCTGAGCATGGTTACCCGTGTCCTCTCTGGATAACCCAGCAGGACCCCGTGCCCCTACAGAGAGCCCTATGATGCTGTGGGGTCAGACCGTCACGGGGACAGAGTGCAGCTTACCAGGGGGTGGTGTGCCCAGCCAGTCTGTCTGCATCCCCAGGCAGCTGGGTCCTGGGGAAGGAGAGGCTTGGCCTGCTGTCGGCAGCTGTGGGGCAGCACTTGGCAGGGGCTGCGAGAGGACAGTCGGCAGATGCCCAGGCGTTGGGAACGTGGAAGGCACAGTTGGCTGAGAGGAGGACGCAGCCGGACACAAGGCTGATGGTCCGGTCTGGTGTGAAGTCAGGAGGATGTCCTGCCAGAACGGGGCTGGTGGTTTGACGTCCGCCTCGTCGGAGGTCTCCTGCGAGGATGGAGACTCTTCCTGAATCTCCAGCGCCTCCTCCTTGATGATGATGGGGGCTAGAACTGGAGCGTCCTCCTTCTCCTCCCGGTCCGAGGCATCAGAGATTTCAGTGGCTTGAGGGTTGCCACCGATGTCGACGATGTAGAGGGCCTCTGTGGAGTCGTCCTCCTCTAGAATCTGTGACAGCTCCTCGTAGTAGGCACACGTCACCTTGCAGCCGCCACCAGCCCGATTGGCCTCGCGGGCTTTCTTGTAGTGTGCCTTTAGCACCTTGGCCTTGGCGCGGCACTGGTGCCAGTCGCGGTTATGCCCCCGCAGCGTCATTTCAGAGGCGATGCGCTCGTAGACAGCCTGGTTGCGACGGGTTGTCCGGAGTGCCCGTTGAATGTCCTCCTCGCCCCAAATGTCCAGTAGGTCCATCACCTCCGACTCCCTCCAGTTGGTAGAGCGCTTTGCAGGTGGGGCAGGCGGGATCTGCAGTGACATCATGGGTGCTGACCTCGGGGGACCCGCTCCGAAAGGGCCCTCGATGCTATCCCAGTACCGCACAGGCTGAGCCCTCGGAGCAGGGGGCAGGCAAAGCAAGGGCTTGGCTTGCCGTTGTGCCCGAAAATCAATAGCCGAGACCACATGCGAGCTTGATTCTGCGAGCTCGGAGCAGTGGAGATCAGCGTGTCACCAAGGCAGCTGCTTCGAGCTGTGTGGAGGGGTGGGGAGCAGAGCACCGTGGGATGCTGGAGGACCCAGCAGCCCCCTACGGGGCTGTGCTGGAGGGTGCCAACATGACATGAAGCGCTCCGGAGTGAAGCACTTCAAACACGTTGCTGGTTTTTTCCCAGGGTCATTTCTGAAGTGGAACGGGCATCTCTGAAGTGCCTCATCAGGCGTGTGTGTGCACCACCGCTTTTTGCAGCACTTCAAAGGCACTTGGAAAGCTTCAAGCCAAACAGCTGGCAATGCCCCGAGTTACTATTCATCCTTTTTTTTTTACTGCAGGGGCTTGGATTTTCTCTTTGCCAGACCAAAAGAGCTAGCAGGGCTGGATGCAGTGAAACACGAGCTCGGGAAGCTGAGACCAGGAGGGAGGGGAGGACTGTAAAAAAAAAAAAAAAAGTCAAGACTCAAAACAGCGCGAGTTGGACGGGCTGAATTTTCTGGGTCGTTGATTCCTACAGACCCGGTTCTCACCCAGGGCCGGCTCCTTTCGGCCCTTCGCACGCATCCGGGCTGCTATGCACCTGAAAACCCGGGACGTTAACAGGGCTGGAAGGAGTTTGCCGTGTTCAGTGAGTCTTTTTGACGGGAGTCGCTCAGCCGCCTCCCCGCTCACCTCTCCGGCTCGCGCCGGGCGACGGGAGAGGCACCCGGCTTCTCCCGGGGGGACGGTCGGCCAGACCCAAATCCTGGGGGCGCAGGGCCCTGCGACCCCGCCTCACGGGGCAGCCAGGTGCAGGGCGGCCAAGCCGAGCGGGAAAGGGGTTCAGCTTCCTGGCCAGGTTGTGCCCAGCTGCGTCCCCGGCGGTGACCCTGCACCCCAAAACAGCCCTGTGCACCCAGGGCGCGCGCCCCCGGCCAACTGATCCGGGAGGAAAGCCGGCTCCCACGTCCCCGCCTGCACGGGAGCAGCTGCGGGTCTGACCTGCTCGGCGGGTCCCGGCCCGGGGGAGGCTGCGCAGCGCCCGGCCCCGCTCCGCTGCGGCTGCGGCGCCCGCGCCTGGAGCGATCCACATTCGGAGCGCTCCAGCCCCGCCCCCTCCCCCCGCTGGAGCGCTTCAAAATGGCTGTGAGCGCCCGGAGCGGAGCACTGTGGGATGCCCTTCGCGGCTCGCCGCCGTTCCGGGAAGTGCTTCAGAATGAAGCGGTCCAAAGCAGCCCTCGCTGCCGAGCCGGCCTCGCCGCGGGGAAGGGGAGGGCGGGGGGTGGCTCCCGGCAGCTGTCACGCTCCAGCTGCCCCAGTTTTAGCCCGGGCTGGAGCGGTTTTGTGTTACAGGGTGACAGCTGCAGCCTCCTCCCCACCCCCCAAACCCGCTCCAAGCCCGTGCCCAGCCCGGGGCAGGAGCAGGAGGCAGAGGCCGGGCCAGTAGGGGAGGGCAAGCTGCGCTTTAGGGGGCCCCCAAATTTGGCAACCGTTTTTTGGAGGCCGTGAGGTTTGTACAAGGAAGTGGGTCTGTTTGCATCTTAGGGCTTGACTATTTATTTAACTTCCCCCGCCCCCCCGCCTTTCTGTCTTTCTTCAACTTATTACAAACTTTTTCTTCAGCTTCTGCCTCGAAGGAGCCCCAAATGACTCTTGCCCAGGGCCCCAACAGCCCTAAGGCCACCGCTGCTTGGGGCTGAGCTGGAATTGCGTCTCGAAGCCTGTGGACGCCGAGAAGATGATACCTTTTATCAGACTGACGGAGAAATTGCAACCAAAAACGGTGCGTCGGGCTGGGCAAGACCCGTGGCTCCTGCTGGGCAGAAAACTCACGTGGAGCTGCTCCCCATGCAGTGATGAGCCCTTCCCAGGCTGGCCTGCCTGCTGGCTGGGAGGCTCTCCCGCTGTTCCTCAAGGGGTCAGGAGCTAGAAGGACTCTTCAGACCCCGTCCTGAGCGCTCGGGGCCAGCTGGGACACCAGGATGCATTGACAGGTGAATTGGCCCATGCCTCCCCCACCTTGCTTGGCAGAGTACAGTCTTTGCCTTTTCCCTCGGAAATGTTTCCCCCTGGGTCCCACTGGGGATATCTCACCTGGTTCTGTGACTATGTACAAACTTTCTGCACAGGCAGGTGATACCCACTGTGCACGCGGCCTCTGCAGGCACCGTGCTGACTCCACTAGCGGGTTACACAGGCTCCACCGGGTGCTAAACAGATGATGCCAGGAACCACCTTGACACCTGGAATTGGGACCCTCCACAGGCATTCACCAGGACAGTGGGGATCTCCTTGCTCGTGGAAGCTTTACAAAAGCTCAGCAACCTCTAGATTTCATGCCGTTCTTTCTGTAAGGCGAGTAGGGAATCAGCGTGATACTCAGGAGAGATGGCCTGATGCACTGGGAAAAGCTAATGGTATCAATACATCCCACGATAGCTGCAATTTTCATGGGGTGTGTCCATGAACTTTCTATCCCTGAACAAGGAAAACCCTGATGCTCGAGGAGCAGTCAGGTGGAGCAAGGCTGGGATCTCGGTCACTGTCCTGCCCCAGATCCTTGAGATCAACCATGTTTAATAGTCATGCATCTGTTCTGCTCCATGTGGCCTCAAGCACCTCCCTTCCCATCATGGAGCTTGCAATAACAGTTATTTTCCCAGTTTTCCCATGGGAGGGGAACAGTGTAAGTTCTTTGAGGCAAGGGCTATCTTTCTGTTCTGTGTTTGTACAGCACCTAGCATTCGGGGATGCTGCTCTATGCCTCGGGATCCTAGGAGCCACAACACTACAATAAATAAAACACAGATATTCATGGGAACCATGTGTCTCTTAGATAACAAATAACTTGGTCACACCTTGTATGGTGAATAAATCTACATTTTTCAAAGTGTACAAATATGTACTTAACAATGAGCTGGAATGGCTCCAAGCTGTTGCTATACATCTTCTAGGAAAATAGTATCAGCTTTAAACGGATGTCGTCTTTCTAACAAATTGGAACGTCTATTCTGTTCCGCATTAGTAGGTGGACGTCCTTTAGATTTAGCATTTTATAGGTCTTTATAAAATATACAATTTTTGTTATCTATATAGCGTACATTATTTATATTCATAATAGGCAAACACAGCAAAAACATTAAATAAAGAAATGACTTACTTACTGGAAGCTGATGTTGGACCATAACGTAAAATATGAAGATTAAAGTGCAGGGAAGTGGGTGGGACAGAACGAGGCTCAACTCCTGTCTCTCTCCTTAGCCACCTGTTGGCTCTTGTCTTAGGTTGTAGGCACCAAATTGAGGCAGGGAGCATCTGTGGTCTTTGCCTCGAACAATGGGGTCTTTGTCCATGACAGTACTACCACTATGGCTCACACTTCTTCAGCCTTTTTCTTCTCCAGGGTTGCTAATGTTTAAATGGCTTTCGCCACACATTTCTTTCATTGATCGGGCCCTGTGTTACAGTTCTTATTTTCAGACCCTCCTTTATTAGGGCTAGTCAGATTCTTGTGTACCATGCTCTTGGTCTAACGCCCATTAAGTACTGAAAGGGGTCCAGTCCCCTTTCTTTTTTCTTGACTACCACCCAACTTTTCAAGACATAAGTAAGATTTGATGGCTATTCTGTAAATCTCGTGCTACAGCATGGATGGTATCCTTTTACCCTGTATCACCTTGATAATTGCCTCCAATTATTCTGTGCACCCAGCTCATCATATAGGGACATTTTATTCATGATGGAACCCAGGTACTTACAGCGATTCATCTCTTTAATTTGCTGCCCGCAGTTTTCTATTACACCCACATGTGCATTTCCACAGATGTTCCTTTCGGTCTTCGTTGCTTTGGCTAGAAGACCTTTGCTCTCAAGTATGCCCTGCCATTCTTTGAAATTTTCTGGTGCTACTTCTCTCTGCAAGTCATGAGGTCATCTGTAAGCAACATACCCCACAATACAGCTCTTCTAATGTCTTTGCTCGTGACATCTGTCACCCTAGCAAAGAGGGAGGGGGCTGAGTGCAGACCCCTGATGGACACCACCTTCAGCTTCAAACATCTGTATTGCTAGTGTTTGTTTTGACTTGTATGGAGATATGATGATACATATCTTTTATTAGCCTTGTGTACTTTGCTGATACTTTCCTTTTCTTCTCTTAGAACCTAGTCAAACACAAAGTCCATGTATTCTTCTCTCTCTCCTTTTCTTATAGGAGTCTGAAGACAAACAGGAGGTCTATTGTCCTTTCTCCTTTTCTAAAACTGAACTACCACCACTGCCATGTGTAATTAATATCTATCAATTATGCAACAAAAGGAAAACATGTCCTCACAGGAAGATCTGGTCTGCCGTGAATTAGACTCTCCAGGAAAGTTGGGGAGCCCTGTCACTTAGGTCATTTTGGGCTGGGCAACAGCATTTCCACTGGTAAAGAAGCAAAGGGGATTGCCCATCATCCAATATCTTTACTCAGTGTGTAACTCCCATTGCTTTGACTCTAATTTTGACAGGGTGCCCGCTAAAGTCTCAGTTCAGAAGCGCAACCCTATTCAGCCAAACCCAGTTTAGATGCCACTGCCATGTCTTTGCCCTTCGGGCTTGCTCACACTGGGGTGGCGGTGGGTCCTGGCACGCAGATCCTGAGCATGCCTTGCCCAGCCTGCCCTTGGGTCTGCTGAAATACTTCAAACTTAGAAGTTCATCCATAAGCCCAAAGTAGCCTGACTGATGTATTTCTGGGTTTGGAGTGTGCCTAGGGCCAGGGCATGCTCAAGTGCTCAGACCCCTCACCACAGTGGTATGGACAAGCTCTTTCAGTCTGTGGCATCTAACTTCGGGTTTGGCCTTACTCCCAGAGACACAGTGGGACATCACGTGTGCTGCCCCTCCCTCTGTCCATAGGGTGGCTGTGCTGGGACTCCAATAGCCAGACTGCCTGGGTAATCTACTGAATCATCTTGCCTCTGCCTGGCCCAGTCTTGCCACATCCTTGAGTTTTGCCCAAGGGCTTTAGGATGGGGCACGCCTGTCATGGAGGTTACAGTATCTGGGAGGATCCCAAAGCTCATCTGGCCCACTGACCACTATCCTATGCTCCTTATCCGTGTGGGCACGAATGACATGGCTCAGAGCAATCCCAGCCGGGTCATGAGAAGCTACAGGGCTTTGGGAGTGGGGCTTAGGGTGTTGGGGGCACAGGTGGTGTTTTCCTCCCAGTTTGGGGTTATCGGCTGAGGAGGGAGAGGAGGATCGAGGTAGTTAACCAAAGACTGCGGCACTGGTGCCATCGTGAAGGCTTCAGCTTCCACAATCACAGTCTGCTCTTTGGTGAGAGAGGCAGTGGTCTGCTGGGAAGAGACAGCCTCCACCTCGCTGCACTGGGGAGGAGGCTCTTCTCAGCCAGAATGACTGATCTGCTCGACTGGGCTTTAAATTAAGCCTGCTGGGGGATGCGGGGACTACCGCCACA